ATAGAATAGAATAGAATAGAATAGAATAGAATAGAATAGAATAGAATTCTTTATTGGCCAAGTCTGATTGGACACACAAGGAATTTGTCTTGGTGCAAATGCTCCCAGTGTACATAAAAGAAAAGATACATTTGTCAAGAGGAGGAGGAGGAGGAGAATATAGAATAGAATAGAATAAACAGAGTTGGAAGGGACTTTGGAGGTCTTCTAGTCCAACCCCTTGCTCAAGCAGGAGACGCTGGCCAATACCATCACAGACAAGTGGTTGCCCAGCCTCTTATCTGACCATGCCCTACGCACCCTCTCTTTGCTCCATCCATCTGCCAAGGTCTTCTCCACATACCATTACAAGATTTCTGCTACATGAACACCCTTTGGACTGACCTGTTCGGATGCAAGCCAAGCTGAGCAGCCACCACTCGGGGACCCTTGGAAGTATCATCAGGAGTCGATTGCCCTTGCACAGGTTACAGGCCTCTGAGAGCACATTGGCAGCCTTCCTGGACAAGTAGCTCAGCTCCTCAAAGGTCCACTTCACCTCTTCCCCCTTCTCTCTAACCCACCAGAAGGCTGGATTGGGAGGTCTCTTCCCTTCCTGGCAGACAATGTAAGAGAAACGATATGGACACCCTCAGAGATAGAACGGTCTCCTGGTCTTGAAGTCTGACTTAGCAGTAAATCTTACTCTATTTTAATATCTTTAGACAACTCTGTAATCCCTTTTATCAGGGCGGAGTCTGGGAGACTGAATGAAGCTAAGCGTTTACTGGCTGAATGCCCTTCCTGACACCTGCACGGAGTTCACAGCAGGTACTGTATTTTTGCGTCCTAATAGAGAAACATCAGTCACTGCCTAGAATCGAACTCTCAACCTTCTGAGTGGGAGATGGGTGTCTTCCACCCATCTCTAGGCCACTGCACTGCTCAGTAAATTTTACTGGATTATTTAGGGTCATGCTGGTGAACCTACGGCACGGGTGTCACAGGTGGCACGCAGAGCCATTTGTGCAGGCACGTGAGCCCCAGCCAACTTACCTGCACTGTGCATGCACGTGCCTCCCAGCTGATTTTCGGCACATTTGAGGCTGTTTACGCCCTCCCGGCAGCTTGAGGGAAGCCTCTGCAGCCTGAGGAGGCCAAAAAAACGGGCCCATTTCATCACTTCCGGGAAACACTGGAAACCAACTGGGAGGCGCGCATGCACAGTGTAGGTAAGGAGAGGGCGTTGCGCACGCATGTGCAGGGGAAACAGAGCGCAGTGTATTGTGAGTGCTGGCATGCGCACACTTTCAGCACACCACAACGAAAAGGTTCGCCATCCCCGACTTAGGACAATTGTAGAATGTTATTGGTAGGTAGAGGATAGTCCTTGACTTACAACCAGATTTGAAGTTACAACGGCAATGGAAAAAGGGACAACGGAACTTTGGAGTGACAACCATTGCAACATTCCCACAATCACGTGATCAAAATTTAGGTGCTTCACCACCAGTGCATATTTACAATGATCACGTGATTGCCACTTGTGATCCACCCAGCTGGCTTTTGAAAACCAAAAGTCAATGGGGGAATGCCAGATTTGCTTAATAGCAGCACAACTTACTTTACAACAACAGGGATTGACTTAATAACCAGGGCAAGGAAGGTCGTAAAATCTGGTGCGACTAACTTAACAACTGCCTTCCTTAGCAGTGGAAATTCTAATCAGTTGCAAATGGTGGTCATTTGACCCCATTTGACAAAGCATGGTCACAAAGCTTGTGACCATGGAGAGGCTACAACGGTTGTAAGTGCAAGAAACAGTCATAAATAACTTTTTCAGTCCCATTGTAATTTCAAATGGTCACTAAATGAATGATTGTGAATCAAGGACTACTTGTGTGATGATTAAATTAACAGCCCAAATTAACCACAATTAATCGTCAAGAGTCACCTTAAAGTTAAATTCTTTCTCTCTATATTATTAGAGAATTAAAAGGAAAGCGAATAGAAATTCTCAAGAAATGTTATGCAGCCTTACCTTTTCTCTTTGGCTCCATTTGTCAAGGACATCGCTTGCAAAATTAAAATATTCTGGCACATCTCGAGGCTCGGAATCTGAGTTAGTCAGAGATGTAAACGCATGAGTGGTTTGATGGTTGAATTTGCAAGGGAACGTAGGAACAGTGGCAGACTGGAAGCGAGGAAGCCTGGAGAGAAACTTCATAGCACCAACCATGGGTAGTATCTCGTCTAGCTAAAGTAAAGAGGGAGTAAAACTGAGGGAGCGAATTGTGATGAAGGTTAAACAAGGAAGCCAATGAGCTTGCAGGCTTCGTGCTGCCTAACAGCCAAGCAGAAATGTATTTTTATGGCCTCGGGTTTCAGGCTGTAATAGTAGGGATGACCTTGAAAGACCTTGGTACATCTTGGTAGTCATGAAGATCTTAAAAAAGATATTCCAATGTTGAGATGTGTCTATATCTACACTGATCAGAATCATCTAATTATGGTATTCAATGGAAGCAAAAAGATTCTGAAGACGCAAGAATAGAAAAAATATTGGTACCTTTTGAAGTTGGGTGTTGGAGAAGCCTCTTGAAAAGGCCAAGAAGATGTTCCAATGAGGGGCTTCTTGATGTTCTCCAAGCTTGATTGTCTGTATTACTATTATTCTTCTCATCCTTCCTTGTACCTATCTCTTCCCCCGCTTATGACTATAACCGGTTGCTTGTATCTTTACAATTTATGTTGTTTTATTTATTGCCTAGTATGATTTGATGGCTTATTAGTAACCTACGACTACCACTAAGTGTTGTATCTTATGCTTCTTGATGAATGTATTTTTTTCCTTTATGTACACTGAGAACATATTCCTTGTGTGTCCAATCACACTTGGTCAATAAAGAATTCTATTCTATTCTGTTCTGTTCTGTTCTGTTCTGTTCTAATTCTATTCTATTCAATTCCAATTCCAATTCCAATTCTAATTCTAATTCTAATTCTATTCTATTCTATTCTATTCTATTCTATTCTATTCTATTCTATTCTATTCTATTCTAATCTATTCTATCCTACTCTACTCTACTCTACTCTACTCTACTCTACTCTACTCTACTCTACTCTATATTCTACTCTACTCTATTCTATTCTATTCTACTCTACTCTATTCTACCCTACTGTATTCTACTCTATATTTTATTCTATTCTACTCTATTCTACTCTACTCTATTCTTTATTCTATTCTATTCTATTCTATTCTATTCTATTCTATTCTATTCTATTCTATTCTATTCTATTCTATTCGACTCGACTTGACTCGACTCGACTCTTGCATACATGCCCAACATACTTAACAGTAAACGGCCCAAGTAAAGAATCTCCAAGACCACTTCCACTTCCAACATTGACAGTGCACACCATTAAAATATAAATAGAGAGCAAATCTGACTCCTTACTAGCATGGATATTACCTAGTTTGAATCCTAAAACATTGGTGAGAAAACCACCAAGGTCACAGAGCACCAAGGACCTCTCATCTCAAGCCTGAGTCACAAATATTCTCCTTCAGATGTACAAATGGATCATCAAACACCTTTAATGCAGCGTTTGCATCGCTAAGAATCAACAATTATTTGATGGCACATCGATCAATCAAAATTAATGTTAATGGCCCTTCTTTAGAGAATATAATTCTTTAAAGTATAGTTTAACTGATATCTGCTGGGATCTGGCAAAAGCTGTACATTACATCTTAAAATACCTGGGAAATTTGCCCATAAAACCCACAATTAATTTCTGTCCCATTTCTTTTGTGACCATCTTCAACAAGATATGGTGTTCTATGTATATCGGGATGAATTACTTCATATTTTCACTCCTACAGACACGCATCTAGATCAAATATAAATTATTATTTCAGATGCTCATTAAAAAAGGCTACTCAATCTGGAATTTGCAGATGTTTTCAGGATACAAAAATGTTTAAAATAGAATATATACCTGCGCAGATAATTTAAAAGCCTCCTCATTAGAAAGTGAGCTCCCCGAAGGAAAGGCAGATGAAAAAAAAAATTGGATGCTTTAATACTTAAGGGGTAAATTATTGTTAAAGTTAATGCTTTACTTTGAATCAGAACCTCCTATTGTGCAGGGTAAAGGTGGCTACATTTTCCTGAATTATTTTGTCATCAAATGTTAATCTTACACCACGTCACTTGTGTGAAAAGTCTCTCTTTCTTTTTATGGGCTATACCAGTGGTGGGTAACCATTTTGGACTCTGGTGCCAAAAATTGTGTGCACGCTTGCGTGTGCGCAGGCCAACACCAAAAGGCAATGTACACCCTCCCGCACGCCCCCTGCGCATGCGTGCGCAATTCCCTCCGACCCCCACTTACCTACAGTGCACCTCCCATCTGATTTTCAGCCCATTTGAGGCCTTTTTCGGTCTCCCAGAGGTTTGAGGAAAACTTCTGCAGCCTTTGCAGGCCGAAAAATGGGCCCGTTTCGTCATTTTGGGTGTTTCCGAAAATACAGGAAGTGATGGAATGGGCCTATTTTTCGGCCTGCAAAGGCTTCCCTCAAGCCTCTGGGAGGACGAAAATCATTTGGGAGGTGTGCACATGCACAGTGAAGTAAGTTTAAGTGAATTTTGCCCCATTCTACAACTGTTCGTGCTGCCATTGTTAAGTAAATCATTGCGGTTGTTAAATTAGTAACACAGTGGTTAAGTAAATTTGGCTTTGAAATTTCTGTTGCTAAGTGAAACATTTGTTACGTGAATTTTGCACCATTTTACAACCCTTCTTGATACCGTTGTTAAATGAATTACTGCAGTAATTCCATTAGTAACATGGATGTTGAGTAAATATGGCTTCCCCGCTGTCTTTATTTGTAAGAGGGTCACAAAAAGAGATCACACAACCCCTGGACACTGCAACCATCATAAATATGCCAATTTTGATCGCGCCACCACAGGAATGCTGGAACAGTCGTAAGTGTGAAAAATGGTCATAAGTCACTTTTTCCACTGGCGTTGTAACTTTGAATGGTTACTAAATGAAAATGAAGGATTGCCTGTAATCAGTCACTACTTACATTTCTTGTCTAGGTTGGGGCATAGGTTTCGCTCTAGTTTAAATTGCTGACATACAATTTGAGTTGAACTTCGCTGAGCTTGTCGATCAGAAAGATCAGCACTCTGGCGGTTCGAACCCCTAGCGCCGTGTAAGGGAGTGAGCTCCTGCTCCTTGTCCCAGCTTCTGCCAACCTAGCAGTTCGAAAGCACGTAAAAAATGCAGGGACCCCTTTGGTGGGAAGGGAACAGCGTTCCTCTGTGCGCCTTTGGCATTTAGTCATGCCGGCCACATGACCATGGAGACGTCTTCGGACAGCGCTGGCTCTTCGGTTTTGTAACAGAGATGACCACTGCCCCCTAGAGTCGGGAATGACTAGCACGTAGGTACGAGGGGAACCTTTACCTTCCCTCTCACCTTTACCTTTACAATTGTAGACTGTTATCATGGGAATGGAGACATCTTAAAAAAAAAAAGAAAGGAGGAGACATCATTTTTCACAACTTCCTTTCCTGACGGTGGCACACAAATGTCATAAACCTTAATTGAAATTGACTCCGGATGTAGTGGGGAGAGACTAACATCAAATCAACATCCCCTTCCTTTTTGTGACATGTTTTTGGAGCGTGCCCTTCTTTCTCTCATAAATATTCTAGGCTTGGCGTCGTGTTAGCCTGAGGAACGCCGCGTGAGTCACCATCGTCTTGGCGCCCAACTTTCACGCTGCCGAATGAGAACTCCGACAGTCTCCAGTGGTGCAGAGTTGATTTCTTGCATTCCAAATGTGAGCTCTAGACGCTCAGAGGAAAGGGGCCCTATAAATTCATTCACTCCAGACTCAATAAAATAAAATAAAATAAAATGATAAAGCCACAGAGTCTTGGCAAGGAGAGAAAGGTGACGGGGGGAAAGGAGATTTCCATATTGCAATTCTGTGTTGCAATTCTTGTACTTTGGTTCTCACCAGACCATTCCCATTGTATTAACTGTATTGGTTAAATAATACCTCCTAAACTCAATTATCCTAGCACCGAGCGAGGACGAACGGACTCCTTCTTTGGAAAACTCAGGAAAGGGGTCAGGGAAAAAAAAGGTGGAGGAGCCAAAATGGAAAAAGTAGGCAGAGTTTGATTGTAGGAATGCAGTAAGTGCTTTAAATTGGGGCAGACAATCTTGGTTTTCTTCTCTCTGCGGTTGAATGCCCTAGGTCAAATCTCTTCAAAGGCATCTGAATGACAGGAAGAATCATTGGTGGTTGAAAAAAGTATAGCAGCTGTGATATGTGATTAAAGCTCCGCCCCCTTTCCAGGTACAACAAGGGCTGATTTTCAATCATATATTTGAGGGCACCATCTTGATTTATATGGGTCTTTCCTCCTTGGACTTCTTTGCTTGTATCGTTTTTGTTTTGTTTTGTTTTTTTGAAGCCACAGCAAGAGCTTTCTTGTGAAATTACCTGTTTAATCAGATGCAGTCTGTAAGAAGAACACTATGAATGAAGCTTTGGGGTCTTATATAATATGCCCGCCATAGTCCTTTCACTTATTTGCATTTTTATTTAATGTTCAGATGGGAAACGAAGGAAATAACCGAGAGAAACTTTCTTGAGAGTGAGGATAAAGTTTAGCTAATTTAGTCTGACGGGGAGGTTGTTTTGCGCAAGATTATCATCAAATCTGCACAGGTAGATTTACTGCTAGGAAAAAGGGATTAGGTTGAAAAATCTTGAAAACTGGGTATGTGTGTCAGGTTTGGGGTTTTTTTAGTGAGCATCTTGGTGGGATTCTTGATCTTCTTTCTAACCGTGCCTTGGTTTAATGGGGAACCTCATCAATAGCACAAAAATATCCATCTGTTCTTGCTCTGCAGTGTTCTGGAACTAGCCATATTTCTTCCTGGACTTTGTGAAGTCCATCAAAACACACCCCTGATGTACCTCTCCCTTGATACCCTCAAAGAGTGGAGAATCTCTCGGAAATATCACTCGAAATACTTGGCAGAACTATATATCCCTTTTACCCAACCGTATTCCTCTTTGAATAGTCAGATAAGCAGCATATAAATTTAATAAGAAATGAAATCGATTTTGCTTAGCTCACCTTTTTAAAAGCTAAGCCTTGTAAACTTTGTTAATACTTAATCACATGAGTCAGTATTTTATTCGAACCCATCTTCTCTAACACTCTGTTAGTGTGTTAGTACTATGAACCTGTCTGTATTAAGATTATTAACCCTGTCTCATTCATGTGTGGGACTGTCGATGTCCAACTATCAGCTTAATCATTTGTGAACCGAGTATGTATTAGTTTGTACGGCCTAGGTTGATTCCCAATCTTTTGACCACCTTTGTGAAAAAGGCAGAACAGCTAGCCCTAGAATAGAAAAGGTCAGTTCAGGTATCATAAAATGGAAGTTTGTGAATCAGGATATAAATATCTTGGTGCTTTCGGAAAGTGAGCTTTGCTATTTATGCTTCCTGCTAACTAATGTTCGGGGTTAATCAATCAGAAGGAATTTTCAGGAGCTGCATCTTAGGTCTTGGAATAAGACTTGTTAGCTTAGTTTGTTAGTGTGTTAGTACCAGGCT